TATCATTTGGTAGACTGGTTTAGAGCACATACGTTACTAGGAGAAAGAAAACGTACCATGATCTAATATATTTTCGCTGATAAAAAGTCGATCAAGCCGTGAATTAAAAAAATCTTATTTATACCTAATTTAGTTTAGCATTTGTGTGACGTCACAATTTTTGGATAACCTCACGAACGCGCTAATTGTCAATTAATAAAAATAATTAATATTGCTGTGATGTTTAACATTAGTATAATTTATTTTTCATTTACCGAAAGGAATTTAAAATAAAATAATGAACAACTTGGACATTCGTAATATGATGTAAAAACAATGTGTAGCAATGCACGTGCTATTGTGAGTCGAATTTGGATACTGCACTGATGAGACTAGCGATCCGTCTTTTCAGCAAAGTATCCATAGTGATCACCCTTTGTGAACGCTATGTGAGCAGGACTTTGCACTACACTGCACTGGAATTTGCAGTCATCAAATTTTCGAGTTACGTGAAGCATCAATTTTAATGTAATGTGATCCAAAGCAGGTGAGGTATAACATCCAGATCTCTCAAGCGTAGGACACTTTCAATTAATGCAAGGCTGACGCGCATTACTAAGGCAATAACCATCGCTAATCTTAGTCCGTAATTGATGCCCCGCATAGGATAAGTGAATGTCATACCAGGCGCACACTACACCTCACCAAAGCAAATACATAGTTGAGAAGCAGACAGTTTATCTCTTACAAAATGTTTAATCATCTCGACCCCGCTGCTCTTCAACAGAATTTTACATCATCTCCATTTAAAACTCTAGAAACAGTAATCGTTGACAGCATGCATTTATTTCCCAGATTTTGATAATTAAAATATAACTGTAAATAAAGTTTTGTCTTAGGCGACGGGAACATCTTTCTTGAGGGTTCCCAAAAAGGCATGCTTCTCTTGGGCTGTTTGGAAGCGGCCATGTCCAAATTTCGAACTCGTGTCGATGAACTGTAATAGATAAATCAGGATTGTATAAATGCCCGAAATGATGAGTATATGGTTTTGCATGTACAAAAGGACGTTGCCAACATGGCTCGTTTACTGTACTGACCTTGAGTGAAACCTTCTCTAAAGCAGATCGCTTGCTATGAGTAATGAGAGACTTTCTTAGCGTCAAGACACGCTTCTTGACACCGACGCACGCTCCCTTGATCATGATGCTAGGAGAAAAACAAATGTCTGGTTACTGAAATTGCTCCAAATCCGCAAGTTGATGAACGAAACAAATACTCACTAATCTTCGTTCACGATACCGTAATGGGGGAATCCTCCAAGAGGAGTAATCGTCTTTTCTGTCTGATCGTATTCGGTTGACGCGTTAGCCTTGTCCGTACCTATACCAATATGGTATATTTTCTTATTGATCTCTGTTCGATGATG